CTTCAGCTTGAATTAACTGCAGAGAACTGCAGGGATGCTTGCCCGAAGTATAACAATAAAGTCGGCCAGGAGCTTTCGTCAGTGTGTGCAACTTCCAGGAATGTCACTGCATAGTTGGGTCAAGTCCACGCCAACATCTGACCACGACTGACCTGATTTAGAGATGATTCAGAGAAGCTGTTGTTTTCATAGATTCATCCAAAACAGTTGTCAAACATTGCTTCAAGTCAAGTAAGCAACTAAACTGCAGACTTCATTATACAATGCGGTCACTGCAGATTCACAGCAGGATGTTGTGTATATAGTCATATCACTCCACATTACTGTTCCTGCAAGCTGATGCATATGAAGCCTGCTGCAAGGCCCGTTTTAGCATTTGACAGAGCTTTCTTTTTTTAGTGCATCAACCAGCACAGAAAACCCGAAAAAGGTCAGCCCAACCCCAACCTTTTCTACAAGTATGAAGAAAAACACACCATTCTGATTTTGTTGATTTTGTACTGATATTAGAATGGTATAACCATACCTTTGCTCTCAAAACAACACAGTTTCCCATGTTTTTAGTACTGGTATTTTGAGTGACAGATGTAGTTCTGATTGCTGGACAGTAAGGGGCAAAATGTGGGTACAGCATGATATCTTTACGATACATCGAGTATGGGACGTTGAGCAGAGCTTTTCCTCTCAGACGGCCTTTTTTTTTTTTGTGGTAACAAAATGAGGTATGACTGCACATACATGTGCTCATGTTACGAACAGTCAACCTATCCAGCACATGTTCCACACAGCCAATGGCCTTCCAGCCGCAAACCTATTGACACTCAAGTAACATATAATTTAAAAGATCCTCGTCCACCATGCAAACTAATTATCCTCATCAAACAACCATCTTTTGATAGCTTTTTTGAACAACCTTAAATCTTTTATTTCCTTGATTGATTTTGGATGGACAGTCAAGGCAAGCCCATTGACGCCACAAATTTCACTTTCACACACCTATGGAAAAAACTGAGTATGAATTGGTCAAAATTATCAAAAACAATACAATATGCGTTATCTATGTTTAATCACTTGTATTTATCCAACATGTCTAACTGCAGCAGAAAACGACTCTCTTCTCCTTTGTTTGAACTTTTTTTTAATTTAAATTACAAGTTAATGTTGAATTTTTAAAGATATAAAAATGTATGTAATATATGTACAGTAGTCAACATTCAAAGTTAATGAAAAATGTTTCTCAGACTACTCCTAGGACTAGAATGGGTTTTGTTCAATAGGTTTAGGACAACTTTGATGAAAGGTGATGATCCGCTTTGAATACTGGCTACTGTTTATACATGCAACAATTATTTTTAAATATTGTGAGTATGAACATGACAGGATCACTGTGCTATGAACAGTGTGAGAAAACCCTTTTTTATGACGTTTCTGATGAATGAGTCAATACCAGCATTTCGTGCTTTACCTTTATAACAAATAGGTCACTTCACATTTCGAAAATGTTTCTAAATTTATTTTCTGAATGTGCTAGTTAACATGCTGTGTTAAAAAAGGCCAGTACACAACAAGACAATGATTTGACCTTTCGGTAGGCCATCAGTAAGAAGTCTGTCTGGCTAGTTTGTTTGATGTAACTTCGGTAAGAGTCTGGCTAATACAGTATGTAAAATCAGTGTCAGCCATCAGTGAAAGAGAGCCTTCTGATTGATAGATGAATACGCCCACAGTGTAAATGCACAATACAGTTACGATCTTATTGCCACATTAAATCGTTATAACATGATATCATTGCCTTCCGAGATTTCCTGTAGATAAGTATCAAAAAAAACAAAAAAAAAAACAATGCAACAGGAATAACTACGGCAGGCGCCATCGTCGATCTCATTTTGCAATGATATACGATCACGTGTGCAGGTGTTGTAGTGGTGTCCCATTTCTTAAGTCTGGTTAATACTCGACGTGTCCGCTAGTTCGCTTGAGTGTGCGCGGCGAATGTGACATCAATGTGTTTGCGGAGATTAACTTTGTGTGCGCATGACATGATTTCAGCAAGCCAGATCACAGTTTTTTTTTTAGACTCAAGCGAACGATTCATGCGGCGCTGTGTTTGATTTGAGTTTAATATGAAACGCTTTGAAGAGATTTTGTCTGAAATAGAATGACTGCTGTACAGATATATATATATATATATATATATATATATATATATATATATATATATATATATATATATATAAAAGAATATATACAGGATATAAATATAAATGATTAAAATATTACAAAACATATTAATTTCTAGCCTACATGAAGATTTGAAAACCACTGCCTAACTTTCTTCATCTCGGGAGGCTTTTTCAGTTCATTCAATTTGCTTTTGTATAATGCTATTATTATTAGCAGTATTATTTATTATATATATATATATATATATATATATATATATATATTTATATTTGTTTTATTAAAACAAGCTTAGATTTGTCCATCTGTCAAATTTTAGACCATATGGGGCATGGCAGGTGTATTTGGAAATAACTATTTTGACCACACTTGGGTATTATTGTTCATTTAATCGTTTGCTAGAAATTTGAACTGAATTTAGAAATAGTTTTGAAACTATTTTGAATCTTTGCGCTTAACAAACGAAATTAATTATTTATAGGCTAATTGATGTCTATGCGTAAAGGTTTCCCTATTCACGAGAGCAAAAGCGAAAGTGAACTTACTTTACGTCAAAATGCGCTTATGGCGTGACGCAGCTGGCTCTTAAAGGGAATGGGAGATGAGGCTCTAATTGGTTTATTATCAAAACACACCTATAACTCATTAAGAAAATAAACTCAACCCTTTTAGACCATCCGCCATGGCGCAAAGCGGATTTTCCCATCCTTAAATTAGCAAAAATGCATTCTGACATGCCCTGAAAGCGTTTGCGCCCTGCGCATGGACCGTCAAAATAGAGCCCATAGTGTTAACTTTGTTTGCAAAAGCCAGAACATGCTAATGGAGTTTAATCAACTACATGCATAAATACACTGACCATTCAGAAATGTCCTGGTTCAGTCTAGAAGGCTCTAATCTGCTACTGGTCACCTAGACTCTGTGAGAATAAGCTTGTTTTGTTTTTTCTGTAAGATTAGTGCATAAATGTTTTGCCATATTCTGAAACTCAGAAGCTCATTTGCATTTAAATATACATGCACAAGAATATTTTTTTCTTCTGTTTTTGCTCACAACCAAATAGAGGGAAATTTGTTGTGTGAATGGACTAATGGTACATTAAATGATCTGCGGGATAACTTAAACTTAAATTTCACAAGCACATGCTGGGGACAAAAATTACTTATTTTAAAAAATATGCTTATCTTTTCATAAAGAGACATAATATGACAAAAAAATACTATTCACTATAATGCACTTTAATATAATTCTCAACCCAAGTGTGATCGAGTTCCAGATCCACACATTTCCACAGTTCTGGTATGGAAAAACTGAATAATGCCAGAGGCTGAGGTGTAATAATGTCTGCTTGTACAAAAAAACAACAAAAAAACAACAACTCAGTCTGGCAAGACTAAAGCAAAACAAAACTAGATCACTGTCAGTCTAATCACGAAGCTGTTTACAGAGATGTTCAAATGACAGACAGCCTGTGTAGTTCTCAATTCTCTCTGTTTTCGTCATCTGTCCAAAATGATTTTGTTTACAAATATCATATGTGTGAATTGACTGCTATGATTTTTATTCATTACACAACTCCTAACCGCATCAAAAGTGACTAGTGATTACATAAGGCAGTGATTCCAATGAGTTTTGGATGCTGAAATGTATTCTCAAAGCTCATAAACAAAGACAGTGATGTGCGATGTTTGTTTGTAGTCAAGTAACAGTCAGTTGCATCATCCCACATCTATTAAAGTTAGTAGAAACCTGGCTCTATATCGTGAGAAATCTGTCTTCATCAAGTATCAATGTAATACACTTCATAAGCAATTAAAAAAGGATAATAATACGTTTTTCATTCAATTCTGATAAATTACAATATTTAAATATTTACTTAATCACATTAATGGCACTTGTAAATGCATACATTCTCCGGTACAAAAGCTGTGACTGGAGTAGCGTCTTTTTCTGTACATTTTTTGTACATTTTAGGGCATGCACACACTAGGCACAGTTGCCTTGAATGAAGGATGGATTAACCAATGGGCATTATGGGCATGGACCAGGGGCCTGTGCGCACTTGGGCCCTTACAATGGGGGAAAAAGTGCAGATTTTTTGGACGGTCTATTTAGGCTAAGTGCAAGTAGTGCACCTCATTGGAATAAGCTAGTTGAGCAATTCCCGTCCATCAACGTTTGATTGACAGAGACAACATAACTAAAGAGCGCAACTAACAGCAGCGTTAGTGGTGTTTTGAATCCAGTATGCAATAAACACATTCTTCTTTTTTTTCCCCACAACATATCAGATTCTGCCTACTCCTCATCACAAAGGAAGACAAGTAGGAATCATTAGAGCTGTGAACCCATAATAGGAACTTTTTTACGAAAAAACTTTTTTATTTTAGTTTTAGGTCAATTGCATGCAGAATTTTTTGGCTTCAGACAATAATTTTCAATTTCAAAGGGAGGACCAGATTTCTCACCACATCAGCCTTGAATGAGATCTACAGATCCTCCAGCTGAGCACACCACAAAAAAAAAAGAAAGAAAAAAAAAATCAGCCCCATTCTTGAAGAAAATGGATATGCTTCTGCAAACGTGTCTAGAAGACCCTGTTTGTATCCTGAAAAAACTGTTTGGGTGGTTAATGTGTGTGTGTGTGTAATACAGTGGTCTCACAGACCCCCTGGGAAAGCACATAAGTCTGCATGAATAGCAGGAATTCAGAGGCTCTGCATAGAAGCGAGACTCAGTTCCTTATTAATCAGTCAGATAGATTAAACGGCCCGGCATCACCTACACTGGGGAACACAGAAAGAGAGAAAAACACTTACTGTTGCTCGTTGTTTCAGGAAAAGCAGCCCTTTGTCCATTCCAGCCTTTGTTGTCCATCTGTGGCCAATGTTGAGATAATAGAGGAGTGGGAAGAAATGGAGAAAAGGGAGAGAAAGAGGGCCGATTTAGCAAACCCCTTTTCATGCATGTCAGACAAGTCGCTTTTTTTGTGCACTAGAAAGGGTGATTCGTGACAAAATTGAGACATCACAGCATAAGCGTCACTAACTTGCAAAGACTAAGTAGATGGGAGATTTAAAGATTAAGGTTGTGCGAACCAAACCTATACATCCACATACGCTCTCATTGATATCCTGCTACGCTGTTCATACTGAATGTGCTGACACAATGCGATAATTAAGATACTAAAAGTATCTTAAATGTGGTAGAAAAATCAGCTCATAAAAAAAAGACAAAAATATTTCAAGGCAATTATAAAAACAACTATTTAATCTGTCATCATTTTCGTAATGTTTTTGATAATGAAATAAATGACAAGAATAATTATAATCATTTTATTTTGTGTGTATATATATATATATATATATATATATATATATATATATATATATATATATATATATAAAATTTTCTTTTTTTTATAAATTATTATTATATAACTAACTGATTAATAAAAAAATGATTGGGACAGTTTTTAACAAAGCAAGAAAAAAGTAAATAATAATAATAATAATAATAATAATAATAAATAATAATAATAATACATTTCATTAAAATCAAAATAAAGAAAATTACAGTAAAAAGAGAAACATGATACATTTAAGTTTTTTAGTATTTGGATGATCAAAAATAATAAATAAATTGTGGTCATCATTACAATAATTTTCATATTTTAACAGCAAAATAAAAAAATATATTTCATTTTATTTCATTGTAAATTTATTAAATCATTTATTGACATAAATGATGTAAATATGTTTGTGTAAAATGTAATACTGGGGTGATGGGTAGCTTTTTTCGTGCTTTCTCGGAATGTCTCCCAATCTACAAATTTTTTTCTAACGTCTCTTTTGGTTAAACGTCTCTGGGTTAACCATCCTGTCGCAAATTTTGGAAAAAACTATTTATCCTGAATCTTGCCTTTTCCTATTGAATAAAGAATCTTCATTAACCCTGACTTTAAATCAAAAACAAACTTTTTACTCCGGATTAACAGCTACAAAAATTTTTTTTTATAATAATCATCAGTTCCTGGTTCCCTCCTAATCTCCTGTCAATTCAGCAATGGTTATACTTCTTTATAGACATTGTTTGACTGGAACAGTCCACTGCCTTAATTAATAGAGCAAAGATTTCAACATTTCTTTATTTGATCCAAATACATGACACTTTGATCTCCATTTTTTAAACTTAAGTGATTTAATTTAATGACGCATGAGAAAGGATTAAGATATACAGTAAGTGACAACAAATTATCTTTTCTTTTTGTTTTAAAATAATTTTATTAGACACTTTTTTCCATTTATGTACTTCTCTGACATTATGTATCGTTTTTTTCTCCCTTTTATCCTTATTTACAAGTTTCGTTATGCATTATGTATATATTATTTATATTAAATACATTTTTGCATATTTAAAATTTATCTAAAAGGTGTTATCGATTGTGAAAAATGCCTTGGTTATGACTTGAATAGTTAAATGACGTAAATTAACTGGCTATATTTAAAGACATATTGCATTTTGTATTAAAAGTGCAGTAAGTGATCTGTGAAAATGCTCTCCATTAGCATATCTTTGAAAACACCATCCCTCCCCTGCCGCCCAAAACCGTGCCTCCTGAAATCACAAACATGCACATTAAAGATGACCTTAAACAACCCACTAGATCATGTCATTTGACAGTTACAAAACTTTAAAGTACTTTAAAAAACTACAATTCACAACGAAACTTTGTCTTATGTCTAGCACGTTTTCAGTTGTGTAGCAACCTGTCTTAAAGAAATACTTCAGCCATGGTGTCGCTGTGGAATTTAAGTTACATTGCATCTATATGCCAACTAATTTTCATTATAAGTAGACTGTTAGGTTGGGGTTAGGGTTAGTGTAAGTTGACATGTTCTTGCAAGGTGCCTTATAATCAGTTAAATAACTGTTGAAGCAGCAGTATCAACAGATATTAAGCATACAGTCTACTAATACTCAAATGGAACATCAAAATAAAGTGTTACCGAACAATTTTTAGTCTAATGCCTCATCCAGTATATAAAAATGCAAATAAATACATTTAGATCATTTACTTTAATCATTACTATTGGAATGTGAAGAGACTTTCAACCAGTAAAACTAAAAAATGTTTCTGTAGACAATCACCTACTGCACCTACTTGTTCAGACTGTGTTGTTTTTTAACTCTCAAATTTCCAGCAGCCCATGACCAGAATTTTATGCATTACAGGGGATTTAATGTTCTTACAGAAAAAAACAAAAAACAAAAACAAATTCTTGGATAGCCTGAAGTTAACAGGAAATTGTTTATATTTTAAATAAAGAATTGCTTTAAAAATCTTTCATGGGTTCTGTAGTGTTGCCAAGTACTTCACTAATTTAAATTACTTGTAGTTTATAACGTAATATTCCTTAGCAGTAGTGGTTTAAAAGTTTCAAAGTAGCTTTAACTGCAATGATTAAAATTGACCTTTTCCGGAGTGTTCTGTAATGGAGTCGATGCCTTGTATCCCAGTTGAAGCAGCATGGCTTCAGCTGCATTACGCTTGGCCACTTTCTTGTTGGGTCCAGTTCCTGTGGTCACTTCAGTGCCTACTTTCACCTGGAAAAAACAAACAGTGGTAGATGTTTAAAGCTGCATGAAAGTCCACCTCTATTTGTGAACTGGAAGTTGCTGAGACTTTTTTTTTAATTATCTTAATGTACTGCCACCTGAAATGGAATATTAGGTGGGGGCAATGGCTATATTTTAGCGCATCATTCCCTCATAGCAAACTGATGGTAAAAGAGATGTGGCTAGAAATATTGTTCTTGAAGCTGTCAAACTGGCATCAGAGAAGTTTTCCACTACAAATCCAGGAACAAATGCTCAGAATATGATTTTTATTTAATTGAACGGATTATTTTAACTAAACAATAACATTGTGCACTAGCAAAATTAAGATTGTAAATTGTGTCTACACACAGACTTTAATTAAAATTCTATTCAATTCAAAATTATTTGAATAGCACTTTTTACAATAATTGATGTTTCAAAGCAGCTTTACAAAAGGTGCACATCATTGCATTACTATAAAATCAGTGAAGTCTTAGTTATTAGTTACTATACATTTATCAGTTACTTTAATTAACTATTAAATAATTACTTAAAGCTTAATTATGCTTATATATAAACAGTTAACCTGCAGTTGACTAGTATAAAGGTGATGTCTATGTGTTACTATAGCCGAGAGTTTAATGTGCTGCAATTTAACTTCTTAGCCAATGTCAGGACGTGGTGTAAATGCAACTACAAAAAGCGCCAACAAATTGAGAAAAGATCTTCATTTGTTTAAAACCACATGTACTGCAAATACTCACAACGCAAACACATTTAACTAACGCACTGCATTTTCCTACAAAAAAAAAAAAAACTATTTACAAAAACGCTCTGCATTTTCTCACAACGGTTGTAAAAACACAATGAAATACAAAATTGTGATGGATGCCACTGTGCAGTGACTATTGCTCAGTGAAGTTGTAGGTGATCTTTGAAAGACAAGTTTTTTTATTGGTTTATTTCAATATACCAATTCTCTTGTCTAAAGTATTTATTAGCCTAAATAACCGTAACCTAAATAGCCGGGTACATCATGTTTTAGGGTTACCTTGAAACATTTCCGTTGTGTTCTGTGTGTGTTGAAATATTTGAAAAGGCAGCCTGTTTTCATAAATGTTGAATTGTAATAACAATAAATTGTTTTGTGAAAAAAAATGCAGCACATTTAAAAAAAATGTGATTGCATTGTCTTCACCTGTTTGTGTAAAATGAATACTGGGGTGATGGGTAGCATTTTTTCATGCTTTCTGGAAATGTCTCCCAATCTACAATTTTTGGGTTAACGTCTCTTTTGGTTTAACGTCTTTTGTTAACCATCTTGTCGCAAATTTTGCAAATAACCATTTATCCAGAACCTTGCCTTTTCCTATTGAATGATGATTCTTCAATAGCCCTGGCTTTAAATCAAAAACAAACTTTTTTCTCAGGATTAACAGCTGTAAAAAATAAATAAATAAAAATGTAAAAAAAATCATTAGTTTCTGGTTTCCTCCTAATGTCCTGTCAATTCAGCAATGGTTATACTATTTTATAGACATTGTTCGACTAGAACAGTCCACTGCCATGCATAACAGAGCAAGGATTTCAACAATTCTTTATTGTAACTAAATACATGACAATTTGATCTCCATTATTTAAACTTACGTGATTTAATTTAACTACACAGGAGAAATTATTAGGATGTCTTTAAGAAATATACAGTAGGTGACAACAAACTATCTTTTATTTTTGTTTGATCTGTTTCACAATAATTTTATTAGACACTTTTTTCATTTATGTACTTTTCTGATAGTATGTATATCATTTTTTTCTCCCTTTTATACAGGTTCCTGTATGCATATATTCAAGTATGTGTGTTTGTTTGTGTCTACATATATATAATTTGTAAAAAAAAAAAAAAAAAAATTTTTTTCATATTTTTTGTAACCATGCTATACACCAGTGGTCACCAAACTTGTTCCTGGAGGGCTGATGTCCTGCAGATTTTAGCTCCAACCCTAATCAAACACACCTGAACCAGCTAATCAAGGTCTTACTAGGTATACTTGAAACATCCAGGCAGGTGTGTTGAAGCAAGTTGGAGCTAAAACCTGCAGGGACCCTCCAGGACCAAGATTGGTGACCCCTGCTATACACAGTGAACTAAGTCAATGTTGAGGAATTCTGCTATTATCATTGTTGATAACCACTAAAAACATAGTTTAGGTTAAAGAAAAAAGTCTGCGTTGTGAAGATTTGCAGCACGTGTGAAGTTCAATGAAGTGTATTTAGCAGCACTACTGCACAAAGCTAGGTGGATAGTGTTAACAAAAATAAGGAATGACAATACATACAGGTGAAAATTAAAGACAAAACTGCATTATGCTGATAAATGCTTTTCTAAAGAGAAAAAGAATGTGCAAGATATCCTGTAAGCACTACAGAATCTGTCAGAAAACCCAACCAAACGATATTACCATATTCTCGAGCAGTTATAAAAAAAGAAATACATTTTGTTGTCAAACTGTCCCTAAACCCAGACAACCATCTTTTGATATTTATTAGGAGGAAAGCAGCAGGTGGGGACCAATAGTGTGGGCCTGAAAACAGACACGTATTGATGCCCACAGACCGGAGGGGGAACAATGTGGAAATTTTAGAAGCGACAGGGCAGCACAAAGGAAACACACACAGGCAGAGTCTAATGCGACAGTGAAATAAGCATGGAGAATCAGTTAGCACACGTTTAGGGATGCACAGAGTGCTTTAAAGCGAGGGATTATCGGATGGAGACAGAAGAGAAGCTTCTCCAACTTGGATGCTTGCTTGATACTTGTTTATGTGTGAGCCAGTGCTGGATGTGCTTCTGACAGAGCAGTCAGAATGAGACTCAACATTTCTTTTTTTCATTTACTACAGTGTTTCATTGCACCATTTATGTGGATAAAATACTGCATTTTCCTTCCCTTTGGGGAAAACAATGCTGTACCCAACTCTACTTTCCTCTGTTTTATCCAGTCTCTTCTGCGCTACGATAAGCTAATTCACTCAGCTACTCCATCCTTGCTTTGCTCCATTGCATTGTGTGTAGTTTTATACAGCTCTACTTCCTTTTTTTCTTTACTAATGTATTTTATATTGTTCGTTTAACTCTATTCTATTTACTCCACTGATTTGAACTCTATATAAACTCAAGCATGCTCTAAATAACTCTACAGACCTCAAGCCCATTTTAGACAAGGCAAGGCAAGTTTATTTATATAGCACATTTCATACACAGTGGCAATTCAAAGTTCTTTACATAAACAGGAATAAAACAAGTATAAGAAAATAAAAACAAATAATAACAATGATTAAAAACAGATTAAAATGTGTAAAACAGGTTATAAAAGAATGAAAAAGAAAGACAATCTGTGGGCTGTTGCACAGTGCTCATTCAGTAAAGACATAGCTAAACAGATGTGTTTTCAGTCTTGATTTGAACATGCCATATTTCGGAACACATCTGATCATTTCTGGAAGCTGATTTCATCAGCGGGGGGCGCAGTAGCTGAAAGCAGATTCTCCCCGCTTTGACTGAACTCTTGGAATTTTTTGTTTATATGATCCTAAAGATCTGAGTGATCTGTTAGTTTTGTATTCAGTGAGCATATCTGTAATGTTTTAAGGTCCTAGGCCATTTAGTGTTTTATAGACAAGTAATATTACTTAAAATCTATTCTGAATTTAACTGGGAGCAAGTGTAAAGACCAGAGAACAGGTGTGATGTGCCCTGATTTCCTGGTTCTGGTCAGAATCCTGACCGCAGCGTTCTGGATGAGCTGCAACTGTCTGACTGTCTTTTTGGGAAGGCCAGTGAGGAGGCCATTACAGTAATCCACTCTGTTGCTGATAAACGCATGAACGCATGAGTCTTCACTGGAAACAAAGCATCTAATTCTTGCAATTTTTTTGAGATGATAGTATGCTGATTTGCTAACTGTTTTGACATGACTACTGAAACTTAGATCTTACTCCAGAGTCACACTAAAATTCTTGACCTTATTTGTTGTTATTTGACCCTTAGAGTCAAGGTACGCATTCATCCTGAGAACCTCATCTCTGCTCCCAAATGCTATCACTTCAGCTTTCTCTTTGTTTAACTAAAGAAAGTTGACACATAAACACATGCAATAGGGCTGTAGTCATTAGGCAGTAAGGCTATATAGATCTGAGTGTCATCAGCATAGCTGTGGTAGGAAATTTGGTTCTTATTATTTGGCTCAGAGGGAGCATATAAAGGTTGAACAGGAGAGGTGCCAGAATTGAGCCTTGTGGGACTCCACTTGTCATGGGTGTCCAAAAGAGCTATGGTCACCTTTACTGACATAGTAACCTCTCCCTTCAAGGTAAGATATGAACCATTTGAGAACTGTCCCAGACAGCCCAGTCCAGTTTTCCATCCTATCCAGAAGTATGCTGTGATCGACTGTGTCAAATGCAGCACTGAGGTCAAGCAATACCAGCACTGTTAGTTTGTCTGAATCTGTATTAAGGAGTATATCATTGATTATCTTTTTAAGAGCGCTCTACTGTGATGTGGTCTGAAACCAGATTGAAAACTGTCTAAACATCCCTTGAAGCTTAAGAACTTGTTAACCTGGTTAAAAACAACCTTTTCAATGATTTTTCCAATGAAAGAGAGATTTGAGATTGGCCTGTAATTGCTCAATAGAGTGTTATCCAGGTCGCTCTTTTCAAGAGGGGTTTGGAAAAATCTGTGAGAGAAGTGAAGCATCTACCACTTTTAGAAGATCCATTTCTAAACAGTTAAACTGTTTTAAAGAATGATGTGAGGAGCGTGTCAAGACAGCAGGTTGATTTTTTCATTTTATACAACTATGTAGATATCTACTCTAAACAACTCTGGCTACACAATTTTATAAAACTATCAAATTTTGTAGAACTCTAGAGATTCAGAGCAGTATATACATTTTTATATTACATTTTTAGGAGTTTGTCACCTTTATTGTATGGGACAGTGG